CGGGTTGACCGGCCTGCACGGCTTCATCTTCTACTTCCTGGCTTCCGTCCTTCTTTCCTTGCTCTTGGTGTTAAAAGCTGGACGGCGATGGAATAAGTACTTTAAATCCCGAAGGCCACTTTTCACGGGGGGGCTTATAGGAGGGCTCTTCACATACGTCCTGTTCTGGACTTTCCTGTACGGGATGGTTCACGTCTACTAAACTGACTAGGAGCCACGTTAGCTGCAGTGGTTTTTAGTCGAGCAGGAGAACTGGTGCCAGAACTCACCTACACAACTAGGCCAGCTTACCTCTGAAACTGTTGTCCATGGCTTGCATTGTTAATACTGTCAGTAAATTATGTCAAAGTACAAATGAAGCGGTAGCACTGTTCTAATTAAACTGAATGTGAACCACTACTTGGATGCCTCCGATGAATATTTGTTTGGTGATTCTGTCCCTAATTGCAGGCACAGCCCTGGATTTTGGTTAATGTAGTTTTTTGGTTTGGATAAGACCAGTTATACTCCCGTCTAGGTTTGCTGCCTGTTTCTACATCTGAAAAATTAAAGCCACGTGTAAAAGCACTTTTTAAAAGTAATCCACTGACATGAGCAGATATTGCACAGTAACTTGTAATTAAGTGTATGTAGAGGAGTATATTTGAGCTGCTAATGTCAACGTTATCTTCCACAATTGCTACATGTACACACTATCAATAAATGACAGTCATGGATGTTCTTCACTGGCACACACAAAAGTCATTAACACTCTTATGAGTCTTTGCTCCTTTTTAGTGCTGTTGTGTCTAATGAAACAACCAAGCATCTTATTATTGCCAGCATCTTATTATTTGCCAGATCAGATTGTACTGAACACATGCTGGCATTGAGCCGTACTTTGTTCTGGTGCCTTACATCTAGCAGGAACAGAAAGGAAAAGTCTATCACCCACCACAGAGGTAATATTTTTACTGCATACCTTCTTGTGCAAACTTAGTGTTTAATTGACTTTCTTACACAATTATGTATCACAAAGACAAGGTGGTGTCCAGCCTACAAACCATACTGTACAGAAGAGTCTTGCACAGCATTGGCCTAAAGTGACAGATTTTTTTTGGGGGGGGGGGGGAGGGCAGAAATCAAAGAAACAAACTTCTGAGAAGGAATCTGGTTACATTTTATTAATAGCAGTGATCGTGGGAATTGTGTTAAACAAATGGTAAGAAAGGAAGGAAATATTCTAGGGAATATGGGGGGCGGGGCGCTGAAGAGTTAAATTCAGGAAAAAGCTTTGGTCACCTGAGGACGTTTTGTCACATGGAAAGGTTGGTGTCAGTAGAGCAGTCTCCCTGCTTTCCCCTCACTGTCAATTGCTGCCTGCTGTTACCTGCTCTGTGCTGTAAATGGTGGTTCTCAGGACCAGCTACAACTGGAGAAGGCAGGTGACAGCGGAGGCAGCCAGGACCCCACTATGGCTGAACTGACCTTCCTCCTGCTGTTCCTCAGCCCAGCACAGCTCCTTGCTCTAGCTGTTGGAAGGCTTTTCCTGGTGAAGCACTATTTCTAGCCCTAATAGTTACACACACCCCACAATGAGGGTGGTTGCCCTGCTCTGACCTGGCATGGCCCTTGTAGGATAACAAGCTCTCGGGCTCCGAGCGCTGCTGGAGTGCTGTTTCACTGCACTTCCCAACAGGATCAGTCCTGCTGCTTCACATCTTGTCCTGCATGTAATACAAGTGGGAGTTGGGAGCGGTGTCCGCAAGCCAGGGAAGCACGGGTTGGGTTGAATCTCAGCCTCAGCCCTCGGAGAGCCAGTGGTGTTTCACATTCCAGCACATGGAAGCAAAGCACAGCCTCAGGATAACACTGACTGTTGTCGTAGGTACAGATATATGTATCAGCAGATAAAAAAACATTCACTTGGTGCCTTCTTTTTCCTTTTATAAAATCCTTTTATAAATCCATAGCAACAACACACTGGTGAAAGCTCAGGATACCAGAGAACATCTCGGGGAAAGAAGGGCAGGCTTGAAAGGGCTTTTTTCCCTCTGGGAATCCTGGTAATAAGACAGTAGACCTGATGTGGGGCATCTCCACCTCCCAGTGCTGGTATGATTCAACACCTGCAGGGTTTTCTTGGGACATGAGCCGAGTCAGCAGACCTGTTGTGCCTAGAGCCCACCGAGCTGGTCAGGACTCTGATTCCCGTTCAGCGTAGGACTAGGTAAGGATTTCCTGGAACCAGACCTGAGGAAATGAGCAAAGGGGACAGCCAAGGCAAGCAGGCTGGTTTTGTTTCAGGAAGCAACGTGGGTAAGAGGTTCCCAGACAGGCCTGTTACACCTCACCACACAGGCCATCACCCTCCATGCAGCTAAAGCCCCATTCTTTGATTTCATGAGGCTTTAGAGTTCTTGGAGCTGCCCTAATTCCATCCTCTGTCATTGCAGACAGTGCAAGGCCATTAAGTCCAACCATGACACAGCAGCTGCCTTTGCTCCCCAGCTAATGGCAGCAGTGAATTAAAGAGGGAGGGAGTCACTTGCTAAACTCATTTGGAGGAATATAATTTCCTGCAATTAGCCTTTGTTTGCCATCAATGTGTACCGTGTTCCAGTATCTCCTTCTATTTCTAGTAGTCATAACAATAAAGCCATTACATTTATACACAAGGCAAGCCCACTTACTTTACTTCCTCATACTTTTTGCCTCGATAGAAGTTACTCTTTTTAATCAGATACAGCAGCACCAGGTCACAAAAGAAAGCTCCCTGCAGAGAGAAAGGATTTGTGGTTTATCTTCAGAAGAGGAAACGTTCTGGTCTAATGAGCATTAAGGAATAGCTGGTAGGAGCTGTATTTTCCTTCATACTCCATGCAATCCTCAGGGTATTTAGACCACACAGTACGTTGCATTAACAAATGCTGTTAAGACAGGACACAGACACACACCTGCCTGTGCAGTCAGAGCAGCAAAAACTACCAGAGAAGATCTAAACCAACCATCCTATTTTATCCTCATAACAGCTAAATGAGGGATCTGGGTCCCAGCATATTACTTTAAAGAAATACATTCACTTACCGCTCCCATGAGAGCAAGCCCCGAACCGATATTGACAATAGTGGGAATGATGTTAAATTTTCCTGCCTAAAAGAGAAAAGGTCATGAAACACTCAGTGAAGGAACAACCCAAGAGACAAACTGACGGGTGTGGTGTTACACGGGGGAAGCTGCTGGTGCCCGTGGGTGTATTTTGTTAGCAACAAGCAGGCACAACCCTAGATTGGCACTGAACAACAACGAAGGTGTGTATGTCCCCCAGATCCAATAACTGTCCATGGCTGCATTTCTGAGCTTGCATCATCCCTGGATTAAGCTTCTTTTTCCTGCAGTGCATGCACATGGGAAACAAGTCTCTGGGGCACATTTACTTCTGTGGGACTTTACATGAGCCTGCTTTTAAGCAGAAGAGGTGCGGACTCATCTGCCATCTCTTTTCTTAGGTAGGGTTACCTCCACATAGATACATGATGAGAGCCCTCTCCTATGACAAGACAGAGGCTGTTCTCATCCCAGAGCTGCCTTCCCACTGAGAAATGTCCCTCACCTTTTTTCTTGCCAGGCTCTGAAGTATTCTGGCCTGGGACCTCACCTTGCCATTCACCATCACATCAAAGCGGATTCCATACGCTTTAATGAGCGTCCGGTAGTCGACCCCCTCAGCGTCCCGGTAATATTTGGCAAACCTGGAATACAACAATGCTGATTTTAATTCCATCATCTGCCCCACCCCCACCCCCCCAACAAGAACCCATCTGAATTCACCTCTCTCTTCAAACAGGTCTATTCCCCTATCAAAACCAGCTTTAGCTTGCCATACGCATAGCTCCCTCCCTCCCCTCCTCTGCAAAACAATGTGCTTGCCTGGAGCAGCACCTGGCACAGACTGGTCTTGCCACACTGCCAGCCTCCAACACCCGCAACTCAAAACAGCTCAGCCCAGCTGTGGTCCTACATTGTATCCTCCTCTATACTCACCTGAAGTTGTACCCTGAAGAAATGGGCTTTTCTGCAAACTTGTTATCCAGACGGCTAAAAGAATAGTGAGGATTACATTCAGAAGGGGCTTTATCAAGATCACAGTTCCATTCAATCTGAATTCCTATCACACCACCCTTAACAAAAGAGAGAGACAGTGTGAGTTTCTTTTAAGATTAGTTCAATTAATGTGTCTTTAAATTTGTCAGATCCTTGGGCAAGTTTTCCCCTGGGACAAGAACAGCTGCACTTTTGGTCACAGACATGCGCACACACACGTCTGAATGGGCTGAGTTCATACTTACGATATTAATCGCATTACTCCATGCACAACTCTAGTGCTGGGATCCTGGGAAGAGATTTCTCCTCCCAAGACACTGATTTCATTAATTCAGCCAGCTGTAAGATAGCTCTTTTATGCAGGGCTGAAATTCACAAGTGCAGCAGCCAGCACAAAGCCTGCACTCTTCACACCCTCTGCTTCTCAGGATGCCTCAGGTCGCAGCCTGTTTGGTGCCACAGTTTACTCCAGGGGAAGCTTCCAGGGGTGTTCTCTGAGCAGAGGAGCCCCACTGGCCTTCCAGGGTTCTGGATTTAAACCGATGGTGTAATAGCGTTGAAATTAAACAAAGAAACCCTGCTGACACAGCAGTGGTTTGGGCAGCCCCACCTAACAAATAACTGACCCAACCATCTCCTCTGCAGGACCCACATCACCCTGTCTTCCATTCCCCAGGGACGGGAACAGCTTGACTTTAAGCATCCACTGCACCCTGGACAGGAGGCAGTTTCCTGGGCAGTCACCAGTGGCTGTCCTCATGGCCACCCAGCAAGCAGTACAGCCAGCCAGTAAGACACATGAACCCAAGGGGCAATCCTACCTCTGAGGCCATTTCCTGGAAGTTGCTCCCAGCCCACTGAACTATGTTTCCCAGGAGGAAGATGGGGCAGTAGGGATGCTCTTTGCTGTAGCGGCAGCTCTTCAGGTAGGACTCATTGTTGGTTGCCAGCACATTCATCCTGCATGTAGGGAAGAGGGGAATCCACCTTGTCTCCCTCTTTGCTTGCCTGCACATCCTACACCACCAAGACTGCAGGGATCAGAGACTTCTCCAGCAGCCTCATGCACAGCAGAAATGGCACCTTGCCACCAGCCTGGTCACCCTGCGAGCCTCTCCACTGCTACCCCAGGAAAGCAGTCTGCCCACAGAAATGACCTCCAGGTCAGACAGGGACTAGTCCAGCTGAGTGTGGGCTCAAGAAAGGACTCACATAGAGCAGAGTGCTCTAGGCCCACCTGGTTTTCTCAAATAAAGATGCTAGAAATGTCTAGATGAGCCTGGGAGAACAGCAGGAACATACTTTTCTACACTTCTTTATTTTGTTCATATTGTAGCAGCAAATGCAAACAAATATTTTTAAGTTTGCATTTTCCCAGCCTTGAACAGGCACCTTCATCTTTATGGAAAAGGAGGAATATCTGGGAGTAGAAGCAGCTCAGGAACTTAGCTATGCTCTGGCTGGTAGACAGGTTCCCCTGCTTTAGGGGCTCTGGCACATCCTGTGCTGTAGGATGCATCACAGACCTCATCTGGTGAGGGACTGCCTTATTCCAGTTGCAATCTGAGAAGCTTCAACCCCACATCATCTCCTTGTTCCCACACAGCCTGATGCCAAAGGCCTTCCCCTGCACCTCAGAGGAGGGGTTATCTGCCTCCCTACCCTAACAGTCAGGCAGGAGAAGGACAATGGAGCAAACTGAAGTTATTTATTCAGTGATAGAGAGGACAGAGGGACCTCCAAGCACCTGCACTTACTTGGAGAACTTAAACTTGGGGAAGCGGACTGAGTTTTTGATGTAAACAGTGAAGTTTTCTGCACTGGCGAGAAGCGGTTTCCTGGAAGAGAAGGGGTTGTTACCCGTTTGATGTTTGTATGCTGTCCACATCCTAAACTTGAACTGCAGTTTTAGTCACAGCCAAGTTTCACCCCATGGCTCTAGGCCAGCCACGCCACCTTCTTGTACTGCCAGCAAGGAATTGGTGAGGAATGTGCAGGCTGAGGGGAAGCCCTGGGAGCTGGAAGCAGCTCTGGGACCACCAGTGAGCTCAACAGGGAGGAGCAGGGGGCCAGTCCTGACAGGGGGCCATGCAGAGATCCCTCCTGTACTGGAACACCCAACATTCAAGCAAGCATCCAAGCAGAGCGAACCCAGAAATCACCCTACATGACTCACAAGCCAAGCAGCTCAAGCTTGGAAACAGCACAGGATGGCCACATACTTGGGCTTGGATCTTTTCTCCACTGGGCACCAGGCCAATATCTCACAAGTTCCTCTGATGCTGTCCCTGTCTTTCAAACAACGGCCAGTCTTAACCCCTGCAGCACAGACAGAAAAGGTCATGCAGAGCAGCCACCTCCTCTCCTTACCTACAGGACACTTGAAAATCAGATGCTTTTCACTGCCACCATGAGCCCTCCTCCCTAAGGGACTCTCAGCTGGAACAACCCTTGTTGCTTCTCTGAGCAGCCTGGGGTGCTCTGGCCCAGCCACCACAAGCTGTGAGCAAGGCAGCAATCTTAGTAAAAGATAGTAAAGAAAAGAAAGTCCTTGCTGCTGTCTGTAGTCAGAGATCTCTGGAGTTTTAACTGGGCCGATGCCTCTGAAGGAACATGACTCTACCAGACACAGTACAGGAGGGACCCTTTCCTTACCATTGCCAGCTACCACTGCCTCCCCTGCCACACAGTCCCCATCCTTGTAGCACACGGCATCGGGAATTCTGTCACTCTGCAAAGAGGAAGAGAAGCAAAGTGAGACCTCATCTCATCAGGCACAAGACATCACTTCCCCCCTGCTCCCCTTTAGAAAGGAAACTGCTTTTTGCCAAATAACAGCTTTGTGGACTTGACCTGGTATTTTTATAGAACAGTTAGAATGTGTTAAAAATTCAAGGACTGTTGGGCACTGATAGCTGTCCAGTGTGCATCAAAAGCCCCTGGATTTTCTGCCAACCTATTAAATATACAAGGTACAAGTTACGTAGTTAAACATGTGAGAGTTTTATAAATGACTTTTATAGTTGGTATTCAGGAAATCTTCCATGTTGGGAGACAAAAAAAAAAAAAAAAAAAAAAAAAAAAGAAGGCAACTTTAAAAAGCAAAGCTCTTTTAGCTTAAAGGATCTTTGAGATGGTAAATTGGTTTGAGTGCAGCATTTGAATCCTTGCTCTTCAGGTAGGTGAAGAAATGTTTGGGATAAAGGGCTGTTTTTGTTGATGCTGGGTCTAGAATTTGTGTGTTTTAGCATTGTCGAAGTGTGGAGCTGCCAGTCTGTCTCACTTGGAGGAGTCTTGATTGTTCAGGGCTTGTTCAGCCTGGAGAAGAGACCTGTGGCAGAACATGATACTCAGAGGCTTAAGAAAGTGCTCCTGATGTGGGGTGAAATCTCGATAGGGTGGTGAACACGAAAACATGCAGCTGAAGCGGTAGCTGTAAGTTGTGCAAATAGCTCAGCAGCATCACACCATGGTTCAGCTGTGACATCCTGTTTTTAGGCTCTGCTCAGCATGGAGAGGGACAGGCTGGGGGAAACCCCAGACCTAGCACCCAGCAAAACCAGGCAGGAGGCCACAGTACTTCACCTTAAGAGATAACACTATTTTCTGATTTTAAGCTTTGATTCTAGAGCCAAAATTACCCTTCTCTTGGCTGCACTCTGGGTTAATGCAGCCACTAGCAGACAACTCCTGAACAGACCAGCTGTGCTCAGCCTGGGCCACAGCTCCATGTCTTGAGACACGGAAAATTAATCTCTGCTACAACACTCCCTGGATGGCCAGCGTCCTCCTCCCACAGCCCATTCTGAACCACATCTCCACAGAGGACATTTCAACATGATGCAGAAAGACCTCATGCCTCTGGCCCATAAGGCACATTCTGAAAGGTACTGAGCACCCTCACATGTCCTGAAGATAATGAGAGCCTGAATGTTCAGCCCTTCCTTTCCAAGAGCCCTTAGGGCTCTTAGAAAGTCTCCTCTACCCATAACCAGACAGAGTCACCTCAAAGTTATTTTCACATGGCCTTTTCTGACCCTGAGCAATCACTGCTCTGGTCTCACCTCTGGCTGGCCAGATGTCCAACACCTACAACTAAAGTCAGCAAGGCTCTACATGATTAGTGACTCTGGAAATTAAGAACCTCCCAGTTTTGCAGTAGCCAGGCTGATTTTCCCAACTGAGATGTTATACTACAGAGAAAAAACATTGGCCTTCCACCTTTCCCGCGTTCATTGCCCCACAGGTGTTCTCTGCCAGTCCTTACCCCCAGTTTTGTAGGGGTCTGGGGGCCAAGGGGCTCAGTTCTTCCTACCTCAGGACATGTGGCTTGCCTCTGGTTTGGGGTCACAATCAGATTCGTCATGACAAAGAAGACATTTTCACCCTGCAATAAAGTAAGGCAAGGAAGAGTTAGAAAA